CCCTAGCCCTGAGCCTGCTACAGCACAGTGGAGAAACTTCAGTAGTGGAACGAGCTGTTTGGCAGGGGTGATGGTCACTGGGGAATATGGAGGTAGAGATGGGGATTGCCAGCTTCCTAAGAAATTTGAGACAGATCGAGAAATTCAACGGTTTACATTTTCTTCAGAAAGAAAACTTGACTCACTCTCTTCTGAGAAGAGTCAACTTATTCCTATAGATAAGCTGGGGAAGCCCATGACCAGGGTGGCACTGAAGCCAAGTCCAAGCCCATCATCTCTTAGGACAGTCCTCAGGAATGCCCTCTGCAGTCCTCTTCTCTTTAAAGAACATAGGTGGATCCAGCAACTAAATCTGGTGGTGACACAGCCAGTACCACTCTGCTCCCTGCCTGTGCCTTCCCAGTTTTCATGCAAAACCTCATAGGTAGGTATGAGCAGAGAATTTTAGGACTTTGGCCCAGCCGCTAAGAATGCTAACAGAATATCATCTTAAAATTTCCTTCTTTTGTCCAATGGCACTGTGACAAACCCTTGTTCTAGGTTTATGCTCAAACCAGAGGTCCAGGCACATGTGTGCCTAAGGACAACCTTTGGAGTTTAATCAATTACAGATCCCACTGCTCTTCCAATGCAGAGATCTGGGCTAGGACAAAAAATAATTATTAAAGACACCACATTCTCCTCCCGGCCAGGCAGGTGATTTGGATGCAGGGGGCTTGCAGACCAGGGTTTTGAGGTTCCAAACTTCTATTTGGAAAAGCAGGCACAAGCTATGGCTACTTGACCTGCTGCCCAGGGAAAGGCTCTGGGGAAAGCTATCAGCCATAGCATCTGCAGCATAATTACCATTTGGCCTTTTAAGAAGGAAAATCTTTCTGAGTACACCCATGATGACTGGCTTTTGAACCTGATTGCTGGGCATGCAGTTCATACAGTTCTGGCTTTAAGTTCCAAATGTGGTTTTGTTATTATTTTTAAGTGAAGTTAAAGGTGGCGTCTTTTAGGGCATTGAATTTATCACTTTCTCAGTGATTTCACCCATGTTTTCAGTTTGGTCTTGATAGTTGACGATTAGCTGCAGATACTTTGGGATAAAACTATTCTGTGGAAATAATTTAATAAGCAGTAGCCTTAGTTTCTAAGGAAAGAACAGAGGACTTATGACCACCGTCATGGTTCCTTGGTCAAGTTCTGATTTTATGCATTCTTGTGGACCCATAACTCCTAGCACAGTGTCTGGATGATGGCAGCGACTTATTAATGGACTCTGTGCTGTGTATGATACTGGGGCAGATGATTTCTACAGTTCCTCAGCCTTTCAAATTTCTAGGCCTGACATTTGTGGTTACCTTCCCAGGATCCATTCCCATCTTCCCTTTTCCAATAGTACTCTAAGGTTTCCAGTCATGTGGGTTGTATAGGCTTGACCCTTCCCTGATTCCAGAAGTGGGTCCTGATCAGTTTTGGAAAATTAGCCAGTCCCAACTCCCTAACCACAGTGATGGAGTCAGAAAATGGAAATCTAGGTGAATCTGGGCTGAAACTTAATTCTGAGACTTTGTTAAAGTGTTAATAAAATACACTAGCTCTTTGTCAGGTGCTCTTGAAAGAGAAAGCAATAGCCCCAGCATTGTTGGTAGCTATCTGGGGACAGCAAAGGAAAAACATGCTAAGAATGCAGCCAAACACAGGAAAGTGGAACAAAGAAAGAAAGAGATACATGCAAGGTTATGGTAACATTGTGTGTGTTGCTGAAGTCAGTGCCTCTGGACTTTCTGAATAAGCCAGTCCACATGATTGAGTGGACTATTCTGATTCTTGCAACCAAGAACATTGAAATTAGCATTAAAACTTACAGTTTCATAAAGTCAATCATTAGAAATAGACTAATTTTCTCTTAGGAATAATGTCAGAATTGGGACCAATGTGTCTCAATAACATCAAATAAATCAAAGGTATGGCTAACAATAGTGAATGAAGGCATAGACAGCTATGCTTCAATAATTGCAAATCGTTAGCTTTCAAATCAAATCTTCTATGATGGGAAGTGTACCACACTGTGTATATATATATTGAGAGATTTGACTGTACTATTTGCTACAGTTAAAAACAAAGTGTGTGATAAAAGATAGATTCTGTAAATGACATGTTAATGAGTTTGGTATCACTTTCTAAAAATAATTCCCCAAAGGATGATTTGTGACAGGTAAGGTTCAGAATGGGTTACCAATAGGTTATTTCCAACAAAACAAGTGTAATATTTTGGTAGCTTTGTTGGGCTTTTGGCAAAATGCTATAGTTTAAGGACATTTGAAATTTTAGAAATGTCTCATGAAGGTCTGTAAGTCCCTCAACTTTCCTTCTTCTAGTCATCCTCAGGACAAGAAGTTAGACTATACATCTAACTTCTTCTGCCAGGTCTTCTCTGATTCCAGGAGCCAGTAGACTCCTATTTGGTTACCAGAATCCATTCTTGTTTAAGTGTATTGGTCTACATCTGTGTCTCTTATTAGGCTATAATTGAAGTTGAGTATGGGCCACAGTATTTTCATTGTTGATCTCTGATACTTAGCCTCTGACATTCAGAAACTGCTTGCTGAAAGATTCAATGAATGGATGATAATCTTGGGGATAAGATAGAGTAGCATGACCCTGAGAACAATACTGTTAAGCACACTTACACATGGTCCAACACCTAAACTCAAAGAATGCACGGACCCAGGACAACCAAAAGAGAGTTCTTTCTTGGTGGTGTTCTGTAGGGCTCTCATCAACATGGTTTGGGGGCTGTGGCTGGCTTTTACATTTGGAGATCCACATCACTAGGGGCCCCAAACAATCCGAATGGCTGAGAGCTGCGTATAGTAGATAAGTACTTTATATATGCCATTAGGTTTACATTAACTGGCCTAAACCATCCCTTCTGCAAAGAAGCTTTTATGATTCTAGAGCAAATTTAAAAGCACAACTTAGATCCCCAAATCAAATTTAAACCTAATACACCAGGGTAAAATTGATATTGTGGACATGTAATTAGCAATGTTGCTTTTCCTAGCTTCCTTAGGATATAATAGTGCTTTTAAGAGATAAATCGGGTGGTCCAAGGTCACTTAGAAAGAGAGCAGATGAATTTGAGCCAACACCATCTTTTTGCTTCAGTAAAGCTCCCAGAAGTGGCATTTGCTCAACAAATATTTATTGGGTCATTAATGTATGCAAGGCTGTGTGCAAGGCACAGTAAGTCATGGAACACCCAATACCTCTCACTACAGATATTTTGTTGATTTACTGTTGGAGCACTTCACACTCCATTAGGAAACGAACAAACAAAAACATCCAATTACTAAGTCATTAGCACTGCCTTTTAAAATCGAAGATGGGGAAGCAGAGCAGTAGACTGGAAGGGCCCTAAGAGAACCAGTGCAACCCCTTATTTCACAGATGGAAGAACAAATTCTTTGCAGTAAAGAACAAGGTGCCTTTGCATGTGCTGCAGGGAAAGATAGGAAGGAGATGTTTATGAAGGGAAGCAAACAAGTAGAAGAGCACCAAGTTCAATGCAAAGCCATTTGGACAAAACAAATAGTAAGCATGCTTTTTTAAAACTATGCATTAAAAAATTGACAGAGGAAAAAAAAAATTGACAGAGGTAAGTACTGGGAAGGGGAGGGGCACTAGAATGTGAGATGGTTTGTAGATTACAGAAAATTTGTACTCGCAGCTACATTTCTCTCACGTTTATTTTGATGTAACTTTGTATTGCTTCCATAACAAACATGCACATATGTGTGTGTATGTATGTACATCTAGTACACATGAAGTCATGCATCATTTAACGACAAGGATATTGCTGAGAAACAGATCATTTCACAACAGGGATATTTCACAGTTTTGCACACATCACAGAGTGAACTTACACAAACATAGATGGCATAGCCCACTACGCGCCTAGTTTATATGGTGAATAGCACAGCTGTTGCTGGCTCAGGGGACATTATTCAAAACATGACTACAGATGAAAGATAGATAGATAGATAGATAGATAGATAGATAGAAAGATAGATAATCTGTCTGAATGTTTAAAGTCTTGGAGACGTGTGGGCTATGGGTCAGGTTTGCCTCTAGGTGTTACACTGGATGCCATGCCTCACTTTTGGAGAAGCTTCTGCCCAGTTACTTAGCCTCCCTCAGCTGTGGTTTCCTTACACGTGAGGTGGAGATGATGGTTACCCATCTGTGAGGACTGTGGTGAGAATCTGAGATTCAGTGTTTCTGTGCAGTGGCTGGCCCAAGGCAGGTTTTCAGAGGACAGCAAAAACATTGATATTCTTGTGGTAGTTATTCTGTGGTTGCTGTCTAGCAGTGGAGCCAGGATGATTACCCACCCCACTGGCCCTTGGCACAGTGGGTCTCCACCCTCTCATAGTCCTTGCCTCTCTTGCTGGAGAATTACCATGCCAGGCCTAAGAAACCAAGGAGACAGAAAACGAGTTTGAAGGGATGGTCATTGTCTGCTTCTGCTGGGTGGCTGGTGCTCAGGCGTGATCTCTGTGTCTAAGAAGACACCCTTAGTGACCAAACTTTAACCTTGACTATCTGTTAATTTTCAGGTCATATGACATCATATGATACTAATATAATATATGATGTTATGGTCTTGGGATGATCAACCAGAAGCCTAATTCATAGATTCAAATGCAGTCACCTTTGCTAATGAAATGTACAAAAAATAAAAGCAAAAAAAGCAATAAAAGCAAAAGTAAAACCTCAAATTGAGGTTTCTAGCATTCCTGGGGTATGTCACAGACCGGCTCCTGTAGGTCTTGTTTGGGGAAAGCTGCCTAGTTCATCCTCTCTTACAGGTATCTATCTGTCCCTAGTGGACAAGGAATGCTTGGGGTTTACAGGGCTGTGATGTGCAACTGCACCCCTGTCAGGAATCCTTTAAGAAAGGAGGCCAGCTCCAGACCTCTGAAGAGATTTTCATTTCAGGTACTCACAGTATGATTTCCATATTGGAGGTTGGTACTCTTCAGCATCTAGAATAGGAAGAAAGAAACCACAGCATCAGTCTGCATGTCAAACTGTCAACGTGTGTCTTCTCTGGAGGAGTAACAGTCTGTCAACAATACTTGCATTCCTGCCCCAGGGGACTCCCTGCTCATTCCAGGCATGAGGAAGGAATGTGCATGGAAATCTTGTAGACCCAACACCACTTTCTTCAGCTCACTTACTGTGACAGAATCAATTGCTCAACAATTTTCATACAGCCCAGTAAATCAAAAAAGATTTCTAAAGTAATTAACTTGATTGTGCCCTCTAGTAACCTGCTCAAACAGTATTTACTCAACTTGGCGTAATAAACATAATTTATCTCACAGTTTTCAATCAGATCTTTAGCCCATTTATTAAAATGTGAGGGCAAGACTCAAAGTGGCAAGTATACAATATTAAATGTGGAACATTGCACAACACAACCCCCAGAACTAAAATATGGAAGCTGACACAGAGACATTGGTGGTTCAATTGGAATTGCATTATCATCTTGAATTAACTCCAATGTGTGCCTTAGAAAATTTCTAGAAACCTCTCAGCAATCAGAAGTGTCAGAGAGAGAGAGAGAGAGAGAGAGAGAGAGAGAGAGAGAGAGAGAGTTACAACAAAATGAAGAGGATGAAATTGTTAGTCACCATTCTAGACAACAGAGCACAGGAGGAAGTCTACAGGCTCAGTCAGCTCAACCATCTGGAGTTGATGGCTAAGCTTATTATTCCCATAAAGTTGTTAGAGTCCTCTTGGGTTACAGTGATAAAGCTTTGGGAGAATACTCTCCAGCCTAAACAACCAGGAGAGAAAATTCTTTTCCTCAAATCATAAGATGTGGATCTGGGAGAACCTCAAGAGTTTTCTAATTTAGCATCTTTACATAAGGAAGCCACCGTGCCCTCCCCATTCCCGGGACAACACACAGCCCGTCCTCATACTGTGCCTGACCTGGGGCTCTTGTCCTGTTAGAACTTTTCTAACCTCATGCAGGAAAATGGTTTCTCCTTTAGAAGCAAATATGCTGCGTATAAGTAAAAACTAACTCAAAAATAGTAAACTTCTTCCCAAAACCTACTCAATTACATCTATGTAACTTGAATTATTTTACAATTAAAAGCTCGCTCTCCAGGGTCCGTGTATCACAGTGTTCACCTAAATGCCTGGAGAGGGTTTTTTGTACAATTCAGCCACATAGGCACACACACAAATACAGTGCACTGATAGTGGCTGGTATTGTTATTTGAAGTCAGTTCCCTGAATAAATATGGGCATTAACTCTGAACACTTTTGTCAAAGTAAGAAAGTAATATCTTATAGCTTTTATCCTAAACAATCAATTAATTTCATCCTATAGGTAACATGAACCAATTTTAATGTGTTGGCATGAGTGGTCATTTTATAAAGACTATTCAAATAAAATAAATCAACTTGCTGACTTATAATAAAATTCTAAAACCATCTGTCCCATGCCATCTCACCAGAAAAGCCAGATGTGTTAAAATGACGATGGCCTTTTCAAAACTATCTTTTCATATATAAAGATCAACACACACACACACACACAATGAGCATATTGCTTAGAAATATAAATCCTGGAGATGCCACAGACCCAAAACTGTGATGTCTTGTTATTTTAGATGATGTTTATTCTGCAGCAAGTACAACCCCACACCCAGAGCAGTCAAGATGGGTCAGTACCTTAGCACCAGTTTCTCCATAATTGGGGGAAGAGAAGGTCCCAAGCCAGGAAGTAGCCCCTTTGAATATAATCCAGATGCTCAGCTTGGACCTGCTAAGGATCTCTCACTTAATGTTAGAAGCTTAAATTAGATGACCTCTCACTGTTCATTTCAGTTGTGTTGTTCAGAGGAAAACTCAAATTTTGTTTCATCTGAACCACTGCTCCTTGACTAACTCATGCAGGCCTCCCTGCATGTGCCATAAACAATTTTTCCTTTCCACCTGCTCCCTGTTGGCAACATAACCCAGAGGTGAGGAAAGCAGATGACAGGTCCTGGTGATCATAACACTTCCTTGCATGGAATTCTCCAATCCCTCCCCTCTGTGTGCGGAATACAGACAGATGTGTTCCTATGTCGTTGGAGCCACCGACCTCTCTTACTCCATGGAGACATTTTTTCCTTTCTCTTTCCACTTCTCATCTAGCCATGCTGGCTTTCTCTCTGTTCCCAGAACAAGCTATGCTGCTCTTCCATGTGCCCAGCCTTTGCTTTCGTGGACTCACCATGTAAAATGCTCTCCAATAGATCTTGGCATGATTCACTTGCTCTAGCTCAAGTATCTCTTCCCAGGAGCTTTCCCTGCCAACTTTGTGCAAAAGGAGTGGCCTTCCCCCAACCCCAGTCTCTTCCTAACAAACAGCGTATTTCTCTTCTTAGTGTTTATTACCATCTGAAATTATTGATTTCTTGGTTTGTTCTGACTGGTTTCACCACATTATTTGTCAAACTCCATAAAAGCAGGACTTTGACGTCATTCACGTTGACATCATCAGCCCTTAGAAGGGTACCCAGTACATAATAAGCTCTCAAAAACTAAAACAAAAGCATATTAAGTAAATGATCAAATTAATGAACTCTCAGAGTTCGGGCATCTATTACTAAGTAGCTTGAAGTAGGTTATTATTTTGCTTCTTTTAAGAGTCCTCTAACACTCATCTTTGTTAAAACAGAACCAGTAAGGTACCTACCTGCGAACCTATCTCTAAGGGTGCCATGAGGATTAAGTGAGATAGTGTATGACATTTCCTGGATGACACCTGACAGACAGCAAGTTCTAAATGAAGCTCCCTAACAGGGCTGTGCTGCTGTTACTGTGATATCACCCTGTCCTGATCCTCCCCAGGTACCCGTGCTTCTGTCTTCACTCTCTCAGCTGTAGCCAATGAATGTCTCCATACTTGCCCCAAGATCTGGAGCCTGTAATTAAGCTCCAGTGCTGTTGTCATGGAAGCTTTTTCTTTCCCATAAAAGAATTCAAATTGAGAGGCTATTTGTCATGCTTCAGTGGAACAACTATAATTACCTTGGCCTGAAAGACACGTTTCACAAACCATGAAAGTACACTGTTAAGAGGCCATGGTCAAGTGATAGAGCACACAATACTTTTAATATGTATATTAATATATGTTTAATATTTTAGTTGCCTCCAGCATCGCCCCAACACATACACTATTTGCAGCAACATCACAGGATCCTTTACAATGGTCTACTTCACTCCTGGATAGTGTGACACTTTAAATAACTCTAGAAGGTCACTTAGATCACCTTCATCACTTGGCAAATGAGGGAAATGAAACACAGAATGACTAAATGGCTTCTTCAAGGTCATGAAGCAAGTTAGAGGCAGCGGGGGGAGGGGGGGAGCTTTATTTTCCAGACCTGGATAGTATCATTCATCCTTGCCAGACAGTCCTCCCTAATTTACATATGTTAGAATCAAGAAAACAAAATTATCACATACCAGATTAATCACTTCAGTTCTTGGGAAGCTTGGGAGAAAATAATAAAATAGAAGAGAGAATTATTAGCATGAAAAATTGCCATTAAGTCAAGGTGTGGGACACCATTTGATCTATGAATTTGAACCAGGTTAGAAAATCCAGGAGAGGATGTAGGTATAATGCTTTTTTGAAAGTGTATGATCTTGGTAAACATTCTTAGAAATGAGCCTAATGCAGAAAGGAGAGGGAGTAAAAAAAGAAGCTCCAAATTCTAAACAATACAGAAAAAATCTATCCTTGAACTCAGCAGACAGTAATACATGTTTAGAAAGGAGCAAAAAGTTAAAGCTTAGGAAATATACTGCTCAACAGTATTGACTCACACATCCAACCTTTAAAAAATGTGTCAATCTTTGACTCAGCAATTTTATTCTTGGGAATCTAGCCTAAGGTAGTAACTGAACACTACACAAATATATATATATATATATATATATATATATATATAAGAGAGAGAGAGAGAGAGAGAGAGAGAGAGAGAGAGAGAGATGCTCATTGCATTGCTCCTGTGTGTCTAACATTGAACTTGAGATGGCAGCAAGAGGATGACTAAATAGTTAACATGTACTGATTCAGGACAAAGACAGTTTGGGGCCACAGCTTTGTGGTCAAGAGTACAGGAATGGCTTCTGGAGCAGGACTGTCTAGATTCAACCACCAGTTCTGCCCTTAATTAGCTCGTGATCTCAGGCAAGTTGCCTAATCTTTCTGTGCCTTGAGTGGAAGTAAGACTGAGTGAGTTAATATGTATACAATGTTAAGTCTGTAAAGAGAAAGTAACAAATATGCTTCATGTCATTATAGCCATGAGCAGAAGAAAGCTAAAAGAAGTTAACAGAAAGACAGAGAAACTCCACCTATGTAAAGTGTTCAATAAAGTAAAGATGGACATAGGGGAATTGTGAAAAAATAAAATCCAGTGCTCAGTTTGGCACCTGGCATAAAGTCAACTTTATGGTTGCTATTATTAGTGACAGAAAAATATTTAGGCCACATTGTTAACTACTAAACAAATCAAGTTACAAAAACAGTTTTCTAAATATGATCCATTTTAAAGAAAAGATAAATATTTATAAACACAGTAACTATCCAGACAGTTTGCATGTCCAGTTACTAAAAGTTGTTATCTGCTATGGGAAATACAGGTGCATTCTATTTTTCTTCTGTTACTTACCCACATCTGATAATTTTCTGTACATATGGCTTGCATAACAATGTAAAATTATAAGAAATAAACTTGTAGAAGTGCTAGGTGGTGTTTATTTGTTTGCAGGTACTGGGATTGAACCAGGGCCTCACACTTGCTAGGCCTATGATCTACCACTTAAGGCCACACCTCCAACCCTTTTTGCTTAAGTTTTGTTTCAGATAGGTTTCTTACTTTTTGCTCAGGCTGGCCTTAGACTGTCATCTTCCTACCTTGCCTTCCGCATAGCTGGGATTCCGGTGTGTACCACCACCCACACCCAG